AAAGGTTTTTTAGTTGGCAAAACCTTCCCCGACAGGTTTTCAGCGACAAATGTAGTGACCAAAGTTTTTTGTCGCAGAATGGCTTTGGTGACCAAAAAATAGACAATTGACGACAAATATTTTAGTAGCTAAAAGTAACTTTTTTTGTAGTGTTCATCATTCACATATTCGATAATTATCAAATGAGTTATTCTACATTTATTATATTTTTATACCACCTTTAGAAGTGGTACACTAAGGCTACGTTTAGATCATGGATTTAGGAAGGGATTTTGAAAGTGAAAGAAAAAATGTAAGTGAAATGTGAAATAAATATAATTTAAATAATAAGGGGATCAGATTGACACAATTTAAATATTAGGGACCAAAATAATACAAAACTCATACTTTGACAATAAAAATGTAATTGACCCTAAATAAATGGGAAGTTCTATTTGTACACCATACGAAATCTTAGTACATACCATTTGTTCATTCGGATATAAATTTTTGAACAAAATTTAGATATTCTAACACAAATTTATGAAAAAAAAAATGAATTGTTCATATATATACATTTCGTTCAACTATTTATGTCTGAACAACTATTTTTTTTCATAAATTTATGTTCGAAAATATTTTTTTTTTTTTGAAAATTTATATGCAAACGACATAGATAGTGTGCATTGAGATTTTCTAAAGTGTGTAAATAGAATTACCCAAATAATATATAAATTAATGCATTTTGTACTTTCAGGCCAAATTGATCATCTCACAATGTTGTTCAAACTTGGAGAAGCTACAATTCAACTACTTGTACTATATCATTATGCTCAGTTTTCCATTGGCATTGCATTTTGAAATCCAACGGCATTCCACCTACACTTCAGATTTTCCCACTCTAACTGTTGAGTTTCAATCATTGTTTGCGACCAACTAATTTTCAAATATTCAAAACACATTTGAATAGATACAACACTTGAACTAAAATATATTTTTTGTTCATTGATCCACCTTATATAGAATATATAGACTTAACATACAAGTAAACCACAGAAGAATTTCTTGAGAAATTTCCCATTAGATTATAACTTGACATGGCAATATATTTATTTATCCACGTTGTGCTTAACTCACCCCATTATTAAATTATACCTAATTTGATTAGTGAACCCAAAATATAATTTTTAATGTAATTGTACGACTGCTGAAATTTTGATTTAGTGCTTAATTTATATGTTTATCAAGGGAAGTCCTTTGTACTTTATTCCATACTATCTGACTTTGTTCCAAAAATTTTAGTATCACATATACATAATTAATTAGCACATTGTGTAATATCAAGTTTCAACCTAAATGACCACTGTATCCTTCTAATTGTAAAATTAGAAAAATTATTGGATACTCGCGTCGTATCACGTAGCATTATCTATTTAGTACTCTTGACAAACAAAAAATCACAATAAACATTAAGTGAATCATAATTTGTCTTTTAACTACTTAACAAAAGTGAGTTAGCATGTCCCCACCTATAGATTTAAAACATTACGTAAATAATATACTACATAATATTTTAAAACTACTGAATAGTTACATGTGGAACTAGCCACCACACACCTTAAATGCCAAGGGCCAAAAAGATATAATAATTCTTTGTTGTTGTTAAGTTCACTCAAAGAATATTCATAAATTAAGGCATCTTCAGAGGATCTCTAGTAAAGCAAGGTGCAACTTTTCGCATAACATGTAACTTTTTAAGGAGTGGTTAGAAACATATGTTTAGGGTTCACTCCTTGAGAAGTAACTAACAATAAACCAATGGCTTGTGGTTGCCCCTTTGCATTTGCAATACTTCAAGATTATTAGAGTTTTCAAAGCTCTAGGGGACCTCCAAAGGAGGAGTTAGTATAGTGCATACTTTAGGCATTATATATATATATATATATATATAGTAGATTGTGGCTTGAGAAAATAAGAATCTTACATATAACAAAACTTAAACTTTTGACCTCTAATAAAACTTGAACTCAAAAAACTTGAACTCAAACCCTAGTGAAATACAAAAGTTCTGATTAATTGAACCAGCTACAGTTAGTTTAGGCTTAATGTTATCACTAAGGAAAGACAACTTTTTATGTATGTCATTGAGAATATGATAATTTTGATATATATGATTGTCAATTTTGTAGTAAATTTCACACTAGCTCCTTGGTAATGTACCAAAATGGTAAGTGATAATTAACATTCTTTCGGAGCATCCTACTTATTATTTTGGTTTATTCCAAATTATTTATGCATTTTGATAAATTAAAATTTGATAATATATATATACTTCGAGTTTTAATCTTAATCCTACATATAATATACAAAATTTTATAACTCACAGTTGGCTCGTATTTTGAGGAGAAAAAGACACTATTTAAAGTATAGATCAAGACTCACATGTATTAAAACATATTCTCAATATTTCAAAAAAATGTCTTATCCATTTTAGAAAGACAACGTTCAAATATTCATTTAAACCTTAATAGGATGCATTCCAAATATGGTAGTGTGAGCAATTTATAAGTATGAATTACAAAACTTAAATTTTCTTTTTGTAATGATAATGAAATTAATGCATGCGTATTCCATAAATACTCTTCATATTTTCAAATATAGGACTTTATGGGTTTGCAACTATTTGCCACACATGGTTTAATTGTAACAATAATCTAGCTTGAACTTCCAAAATATTGATAATTTCACAATCTCAGACATTTATCTTATGAAAATTATATTTCACCTCTTTTATTGGATTAAATTAAATTTTTACTCGTAAAGTATTACTCATTTCCCACTTTAGTTTTTAAAGAAAAGTTTCTTTCATATGGGGTCCCTCAAAATGAAATTAATTTGGTACAATTTGCAATGAAGGTGGCCCAAAAAGAGTAGTTTTCAAATTTTGTATTTTATATTTCCCTCTTTGGACACTATATTTTCGTTAAGTGAAATTGTTGGGAAATGTGTATTTTAGTCATTAAATTCAATAAATACATATATTTTAGACATTTTTTGTACACTTACATAGAGTTTAATAATTAAAATATATATTTTCAAATAATTACTTAACGAAAATAAAAAATGAGTTATAATAAAAATAAATTAAAAGATTAGGGTTTAAATTTATAAAAATTTAAAATTTAAGATTTATTTTGTTACAAGATTTTTTTTTTTTTTTTGTAATTTCCTCATTGTTTTTTCAAGTAGATTTTTTTTTTTTTTTTTTGAACTAGAAAAAAAGGAAGCACCATGGGGGCATCATACCTTCTACATGCCATGGTCCCGGTGTACCCAGTTAACAGTCAAATTTAACTAAACTCAAAGGAAGAGACCTTTCACTAAGATAACAATGGGCTCTACACCCATTCCACAACAAAGATTTTAAGGCTTCGTGAAATACAGTCTTTTGAGGAAAGTTGCACTCTTGAGTATCAAACCCAAACATCTTGTACGAAGGGAAAGCGAAGGTCCACTAGAACACCACCCCGATAGTCCTAATTATGAGTAGAATACAAGTCATTTTGTGCTACATGTCTTCATCACAAAACCATAACATTAGTTGGATATTAGACTAATTAAATTGAAAAAAGTTTGGTAGTTGATGAATCATTTCCACATTGAACTAATGAAATTGAAAAAAGTTTGATAGTTGATGAATTCAAATGAGAACTTTTTTGAAGATCAAAATAAGAAACAGATAATACTTGATGGGTAAAAATGTAATTTACTCATAAAAGGTTGCAATCCAAAAAAGTTAGGGTAAATTACACTTTTCCCTTTTTAAGTTCATATTTTTTTTCATTTTGGTCCTTAAGTTTAAAATTTTTCTCAATTTACTCACAAAACAAACTTCTGTCAAATTTTGGACCGAAAATGCCACGTTGGCAGCCCCTTAAGTTAACTTTTTTACTTTGACCTTTAAATTATTTTATTTTTCCAATTTGAACTTTGAAATTTCAAATTTTGAGTTATGCCCCTGGAAAATTGTGAAAATTTAAAAAGTGAAGCATAATATATTCATTTTTATGTTAGGTGGGTACAAGTTAGTTTTGAGAGTAAATGAGAAAAATTGCAAATTTTAGGGGCTAAAGTTGAAAAAATATATATTTTAACAGTCAAAATGAAAAAATTATGAAACTTAAAGGAACATAATTGTTTGGGTTTGATTGATTTTTTGAAAAATGAGTTTTTAATTTTTTTTTTATATTGTTAATGAATTTTTTTAATATTTTAAGTAATTTTTTACTTTTTATGCACACATGACTTAGATACACTTAAAAAGTAAATTATTTATGAAAAAATATTTTAAAAAATTCAATAAATATACAAAAAAAAATGAAAATGTATTGAATTTTTATATTTTTTTGTATTTGATGAATTTTGAAAATAAAAAAATCATAAAATATACTTTGTAAGTATATTTAGATTAGTTTTATCTAAAAAATAAAATAATTTTCACTAAAAATAAAAAGAGGAGCCTATGTGTAGATCCTAATAAGTAGACTTATTGTCCAATAGATCCTATGATAATTAATAACGTTTTTATTAAACACTATTAAAAAACATTACTAATTGTTAATTTTCGTCGACGGTTTGAAAATTGTTACAAAAAATGTCACTAATTTTCAACGTTCAGCGACAGTTGAAAAATTCATCACAGAAAAATGTTACTAATTATAAATTTTAGCAAAAATTTGTAAAAATTATAATAAAAAAGTCACTAATTATTAATTTTTAACAACATATGTAAAAAATAATCAAAAATTTTTTTAGCAATGATTTTATTAAGGCTTATTTTTAATAGATTTTGATAGGAATTAAGTTTAACTATTAAAATTTATTGATAATTTATTCAAATAAAAAAATATAAAAATTAAAAAATTCAATAAAAGTGAGAACCAACAAGATGAGTGTTATTTAACTACCGGTGGCGGGAAGCCCAACCCTGGCAGATCTCGTTGTTTGGACAAAAACCAACGGCATAAGCCATCACAAAACCGCGCGTATTTTTTTTGGGTCGTCAGCATTTCATCTTCCTCAGTAGTTACTATAAAAACCAGTCTCACCCTTACAATTCTCAACTTACACACAGCAGACCCTCTCTCTCTCTCTCTCTCTCTAAAACAGAAAAAACAGATTTAGACAGAGAAACAAATCATACAATACATACATATATACATATACATAGAGAGAGAGAGAGAGAGAGAGAGAGAAAGAGGATGGAGTTGAGGAGGGGATTGGGGCTACTGACACAGCAATTCAGAGCTCTGTTGAAGAAAAACATCCTCCTCTCATGGCGACACATGCGTTCCACATTTCTCCAACTCTTCTCGTCTCTCATCTTCATCTTCCTCATCTTCCTCATCAAAAAAGCCATTCAAGGTCGATACTCCTCCACCACCATCTACCACAACGTCTTCGATCCCAAACCCCTCGTCTCTCCTCCCATTCCTCCCTGCGAAGACAAGTTCTACATCAAGTTCCCCTGCTTCGATTTCATCTGGAGCGGCAACGATAGCACTCGAATCAGATCCATTGTTACTCGGATTTTGGCTAATAATCCTGGACGACCTATTCCTTCCAATAAGGTAAATTTAGACAGCTTTGAAATTTTTTTACATTCTTCCTCTTTTTTTCTTTTTTCTTTTTTCTTTTGTTTTCTTGTAGGTTTTGTAATGGTAAAGTTTGTGTTTGTGTTGCTTGATTTGTCAATTTACTGAGGATTAGGCTTAATCGAGTAGAGGTTACTTGTATTTCCAATTTTGCTTTGTGATTAGGATATATTCATGATTTTTTTTTTATTTTTATTTTTTTGGAAAAATTATCATAAGTCTTTTCAATGTGGATAAATTAAATCCTATTTTTTTTATATAAATTCTTTAAAAAAAAAAATCAATTCCTCTTTATCTCAATTTTACCCTTCTTATTAAAATATGAACAAAAAAATTAATAGTAAATAATTTTAAAAAAAATTTAATTGTTGAAATTAAATACTTTCATAAACAAAAGCATTGGTAGAAGATTCACTAATCATTTGATGCATTGAAAATATATGAATTGGTAGCTATGATGGAATTTTAATAAAATTTAGCCTTTTTGGATTTTTTATAATTTTTTTTTTCATATTTTGAAACGATAGAAAATGATGAATTTTATCCATAGTTCCTTCTTGGGAAATGCTACAATCTGAATCCCTAAAAATGTGTACATGGTAAGAAAAGTTACGATTTTTGCAATGAAGTTATGATTTTCTTTTATGGAAGATACGATTTTTGTGTTGAAAGTTATGAATAAATGAAAATTGTTTATGAAATTATTGTTCATATTAAATTTAGAATAAAATACACCATTATAAAGACTTAAACTTTTGAAACAATTTATAAAAATAGAATTTAGTTATCTATATTAAAACTTTATAGTACTCGATAGTACAATAAGACTTATTGGCAATTTTTCCTTTTCTTTTTTTTTTTAATTTTAATTTTTTAAGCTGTAAACTTAGTGTTTGTGTAGCTTGATTTACCAACTTATTGAGGATTAGGCATAACTGAGTAGGTTGTATTTGCAATTTTACTTTGTGCTTTTCCAATCAAAGGTGTGTTGAACAAAAAGAAAATTAAGATTTTAGTATATTGTCATGAAATTTTTTTTTTTTTTTCAGTTTTTTGAAATGGTAAAATTAGTGTTTGTGTAGTTTGATTTGTTAACTTACTTGGAATTAATAGCTTAATTGAGCAGAAATAGTTGTACTTTCAATTTTTCCTTTTTCTTTTCCAAACCCATCTTGAAAGAAACACGAAGTAAGATTCAGTATCAAGTCAGGAAAAAAAGAAGAGTATATAGTCATGAAAGCACCTCGTAGAAGGGGACAAAGGAGCTAGAAATCTTACAATTCACTGCCCGGCATTACCTTCTTTAGCCGTTACATGGATAGGGCTCTTCGATTTGGGTCATCGTGTCATTTCTTTAACTTATTTTCTTTTCTCTTATTTCTCATGGAAAGCAACCCTTGAAAGTCATCATCTAATTGTTCACAATTTTATCTTCTGCTAATTTTTTATTGCATTTGGTCATTTTTTTTTAATTTGTTTTGTGAAGAATACCTATACATTTAAGTGCACTGATTTCATAGCGATTATTTGATCATTTTAATTGATCCTTATTTTGAATGGGCCTACTTTTTTCAGCTCTCAGTCCCTTCGATGCATCAGAAGTGACTTGGTGCTGCTTTCAATAGACACACTCGCTTTGAGTTTTTTTTTTTGGCACCTTCACTTGATTGACCATTACCTTCCACTTGTGGCATACTTGAAAACAAATATTCCTTCTTCGACTTACACGATTTCACATTCATTCCCCTCTTTAAGTGGCTTTGTCTTGTTGCCTTGTATTGTTTCAATTATTCTGTGAGAACATCAATGCTATGCTTTGTCTCTTTATACACATTTTCCTCATAAACCATACCTCAAAACCATTTGCTTCCATGTCAATTCATTGTAATTCTACCCTCTTCCCCTTCCTAAAACTATCTACGATAGCACTGATTTCAATATCTGCTAATTCAGTTTCCTCGAGCAGGCCTCCTAACCTGTTGTATTCATTACTTCCTCCTCATCATGTGACTCCTTGACTTAAATGTTAAATCTACTATCTTGGAATTTGCACGGTAATCTACAATAGTTGAGATAATTTTTCAGTTATTTTAATAAGGTAACAAGAATGCAACATCCATTTGATGGGACTTAAGGCTTCGTTTGGTTTGGTAACAAGAATGCAACATCTTTTTTTGTTTTCATCAGCTCCCTAACTCTCCACAACTTGTTAATTGCTGCATCTATTGGGATTTGCGTGGAAAAACAACAATTGTACTACAAAATTTAATAGCTTGTAGCACCAGCTTGTAGCATGGTAACATTGGGTTCTATAGTCCCAGTATGAGATGGTGGTGCAAGAACAACTGGTTCCACCATAGTAATCACAGGAATCATATATTATTCTAGCAGAAACTTCATACATAAGAATATCAGAAGGCCCACAGCTGTGTCTATAATTGCAAAAAAATTTCATTAGCATTTTCCTTTCCAATAATACTACAAAAGGAATCAATCTCAATAAAATCATAGAATCACTCTTCTATCCCTTGTTTGAGCAGGTTAAATCATTCAGAACAAAAAGAGAAGTGGATCAATGGCTTTTCAGCAATCCCATGCAATGCCCTGGAGCTCTCCATTTTGTAGAAAGAAATGCTACTGTAATAAGCTATGGTTTACAAACTAATTCTACTCCGGTTGGAAAGCAAGAGCATTTTGAAGATCCCACATTCAAATTCCAAATTCCTCTTCAAATTGCAGCAGAGCGTGAAATTGCAAGGTCTTTGATTGGAGGTATTAAATATCACAATTTTATGTGATACTATTTAAATCTTAATATGTGACTAAATGCATCACTAACTTCAATCTCCACAACCTCAGATCCAAACTTTAGCTGGGTTGTCAGTCTGAAGGAATTTGCACACCCTGAGCTAAAGATTTTCTCTGCTGTGGGTATAGTAGGACCAACTTTTTTCCTTGTAATTTCCATGTTTGGTTTTGTCTTTCAAATTAGTTCTTTGATTGCGGAGAAAGAACTCAAACTTCGCCAGGTATAGACTTCTTACCCAATTTGATCATAAAACAAAATCTTGCATTCACAATCAGAACAGTTTTCAATTTTTTATACTCACATTTCCCTAACAGGCAATGACTATGATGGGTCTTTATGATACTGCATATTGGTTCTCGTGGCTCACGTGGGAAGGGATCATCACGCTTATTTCATCACTTCTCACAGTTCTCTTTGGAATGATGTTTCAATTTGATTTTTTCAAGCACAATTGCTTTGTAGTTGTGTTCCTTCTTTTCTTTCTTTTCCAATTCAATATGGTAAGGTTCTTTCTACCAGATAAAATTTTGACGCAATTCAATATCGTCTTTTTGATCAAGCAAACCTTATTTTTGAATTCTAATGGCTGATCTGTCTTTCTTCTAATGCTAGATTGCTCTTGCCTTTATGCTGTCAGCCTTCATTAGCAAGTCATCTTCATCGACAACTGTGGGTTTCTCCATATTTATTATTGGGTTTGTAGCTCAGGCAAGTTCCCTTCTTTAAATTCTAGATCAGATTTTATTATGGGCACAGTCATCATAACAGATCTCTCTTAATTTTTGCAGCTTGTTACACAATTTGGATTCCCCTATAGTACTAACTTCACTAGTACCTATCGGATTATCTGGTCATTTTTCCCACCAAACCTTCTTGCTGAAGGTATTATATTGCTTTCTGACGCAACTGCCACTTCCGAAGATCCTGGAATCAGTTGGAGTAGAAGAGCGAAATGTGCACCAAATGATACGGAGTGTGTGTTCTCAATTGTATGTTCGCTCATTTCAACATGAATACTGAACATTTATAATCCTGCGTGTTTTTGTGCGTTTTTTCTTATGTATGTATGAGCTTGTATGTGTTTCTCATTCTTGTATCACTTTTGTCTCCAACAAAGCTCAACACTGTCCATTGACTTACATATGTTTTGGCAGAATGATATTTATATATGGCTCATATCAACATTTGTACTGTGGTTTGTTTTGGCAATCTACTTTGACAATATTATCCAAAACTCATCTGGTGTGAGAAAACCAGTATTCTACTTTCTAAATCCTGGGTATTGGACAGGGAAAGGAGGAAACAAGGTGACAGGTAATTGAATTTAAACCAATAATCTATTTTCCTCAAATTCTGTTGGTTGGCTGGTGACTAATGCTTTGTCATGTTCTTCTTTTAGACAGCGGCATTTGTAGCTGCACAAGTTCAGTTCCCTCGCTGGAAAATATTACTCTAGATGATGAGGACGTACTTGAAGAGGAAAGCACTGTGAAGCAACAAGCAATGGAAGATGTAGTTGATCCAAATATTGCTGTTCAAACACGTGGTCATGTGAAGTTATATCCTGGTAAAACAAAGATTGGTTTCTGTAAATGTAAGAAGACCTCACATTATCATGCTCTTAAGGTAAAATTGTCCTTTAACCTTGTGCACTTGGTAGTTTTTGGACTATGCTTAGAGGGAAAGATGAGTTTATTGTTCAAATAACACATTTTCCCATTTGGTTTATTATTATTCTCAGATATTTGATAGTCCAATTTATTTAACCACATTATCACAGTAAGACATAAAATGATGTGTAAAATAAAAAGAAAGTGACCTTACTTTCAGGGCTTATGGGTGAACTTTCCAAAAGGCCAACTGTTCTGTCTTCTTGGACCCAATGGAGCTGGAAAAACTACCGCAATTAATTGTTTGACTGGAATTACACCAGTGACGGCAGGAGATGGTAATGAGGTTTTCATGTCCATCAATTATGATTTGTTTGGATAAATTTAACAGGAAGTTAACCAACGATGACATGTTTTGGTACAGCTTTAATATATGGAGATTCTGTTCGGAGCTCGGTTGGAATGTCAAATATTCGAAGAATCATAGGAGTTTGTCCCCAGGTGATTCCTTTTGTACTTTTCCATTTCTTTTTAGTTTTCACTCGTTCAATTAGATCATAGATTTGATTGTCCCACTATTTCTATTGATTTCTGTTTCACTGTTTATAGTTCGATATTCTTTGGGATGCATTGTCTGGTCAAGAGCACCTCCACCTCTTTGCAAGCATTAAGGGTTTGCCCCCTTCTTCAATTGAATCGGTGCGTGTTATACAAACCTGATACTGATTTTCTGGATACTCATTTTGTTATGTATCCACTTGATATTGTGTAAATTACAATAGACTCCAAAGGTTATTACTATATTCTAAGGTAAGTCCTTTTTGTCTCAAGCACAGGTGGCACAGGAATCATTAGCAGAGGTGAGACTCACTGAATCAGCCAAAATAAGAGCTGGTAGTTACAGTGGAGGAATGAAACGCCGCCTTAGTGTTGCGATTGCCCTAATTGGTGATCCGAAGTTAGTCATATTGGATGAACCGGTATGCAGATAAGAGAATCTCCATTCTTCATTAAATTTATTCACTTCATCTGCTCACCAGAAGTTTCCTTTAATGTGCAGACAACTGGTATGGATCCAATCACTCGGAGGCACGTTTGGGATATAATTGAGGATGCAAAGAAAGGGCGGGCCATTATCCTAACTACCCATTCAATGGAAGAAGCTGACATTTTAAGTGACCGCATAGGAATCATGGCAAAGGGTAGGCTTCGCTGCATTGGAACGTCAATTAGGTTGAAATCAAAGTTCGGAACTGGTTTTATTGCTAATATAAGCTTCTCTGGGGGCACTATTGGAACTCCTGGTAGAGGAGAAGATGTTACCATGATGCATCATGAGACTGTGAAACAATTCTTTAAATATGTAAGTTAGATAACAGAGCTTGTTTAACAATGTTGCTTAACCCATAAATATTGAATTTTCATTTTTTGATTGTTTATTTTGACAGCATTTGGATGTGGTACCAAAAGAGGAGAACAAGGCATTCTTGACCTATGTCATTCCCCATGACAAGGAGGAGCTAATGATGGTAAACAGCCACTTTTGAAACTGTTTAAAAGCTTTTGTGCTTGTTGCAGGAAGAGATTGATATATCAGTTTTTAAAATAAAAATAAAAAATCTCAAAATGAATTTTCATCTTTTTGTTCTTTCTTTCTTTCCTCGTTTATTGTCTCTCTTTTTTTCCTGTTTGGGTCTATCTTCATTTTTCTTTTTTGGCAATTTTTTTTTTGGAGCCATTGGATTCAAGATTCAATTAGCAATGCAATTTCATAGTTCCCATGTTTCTTGAAGCCATCATTTTTTAGTTTGTTGCACCTCTTTTTTAAGGTTTCGGCATCCACTTTTGATTAGTACACATTTCTCCCAGCTGTCACTTTGCCTAATGATTTTAAAAGCAACTAAAGTGTTTTTGACTATGAATAGTAGACCCAGAATTTATTTATGAATTCACAAAAATCTCTTCTTTTTTTTTTTTCTAATTGGCAATTTTGTCCCCACAGAATTTCTTTGCAGAGCTCCAAGATAGACAGGGAGAATTCGGCATAGCAGATATCCAACTCGGACTTACAACTCTTGAAGAAGTTTTCCTAAACATTGCAAAGCAAGCAGAGCTGGAATCTGCTGCAGCAGAGGGGAGCTTGGCAACTCTAACTTTGACTTCTGGAAATTCAGTTCAGGTGTGCAATGGATTTGATTTTCTCTGTTGTATAATAATAAACTACATTAGCACACTTGTTACAAATGGATTTCAATTTCTCTCCCTTTTCGCAATGATTATGCAGATACCTGTCGGAGCCAGGTTCGTCGGGATTCCAGGAACAGAATCTGCAGAGAATCCGAGAGGTGTTATGGTTGAAGTATACTGGGATCAAGACGATTCCGGTGCCCTCTGCATTTCTGGTAACTCTCCTGAAACTCCAATACCATCTCATGTTCAACTAGTGGCTTCTTCAGCAATCAATTCCAACAGAACTATCTTAGGCCGAGCAGGACCGGTTCAAGGAATCGTCATTGATCCAAATCAAATTGGTACTATAAATTCTCAATGATATTGTTGATATATAGTTTGATGTAGTTGCTATTTTCTTTTTCTTTTTTTTTCTTCTTTTTTTTTTTGTTGTTGTTGTTGTTGTTGTAAAATATCACATAATTACAAAATTTGCTTTAATAATATTGTTGTATATTGTTTTTGTTATCATTCATACACTAACTTTTTTCACTTTTAGCATGGAATGAGTACAATGTGTAAATTAAAAGTGCAATGATTTGTGTCACAATTGCTTGCTGTAAAAGGACATGGTTTTCACAATTTTCTGGCTCTAGTACTAGTAACTTTTTGAAGGGGCGCTTGTAGTTTAGGGGTGCGCTAGCCTGCTGAAAAATGTAGGGGCGTAGACATCTTTAATCTACCATTTTGTATTCCTCTTATGGGACTCCATATATAATCCCTTATATGGGGATATCTAGGACTCTTCTCATCCAAAAGTCCACTTTATATCCAAATTAAGGGTTGACCAGGACATAATTCAATCCCATACCCTTATCCCCAAAACAAGAAAGCATGGCATTCCATGAATCAATGGTTCAATCTGCCATCTCACAAAAAATAAATAAATAAATAAAAATCTCTTTGGCATTCCTTCAAACTCCAACAAAATATGACAAAGGAAAGAAGCAAAGAGCAAGCATACAAATTGTTGATAGCCTTATGCCAGGTCAAAAAAATAAGTATGCTCTCTCTCTCTCTCTCTGCTTTGTGTTGTGTTCCTCTTTGCAATCCCTTTCCATTTGTTGTGACCATCCAAGATCTAGTCCTGCAATCATGTTGTGAGCTTCTATCAAACTTGTCTCCATAGAATGGTGTGTTGACAATCAATGTAGACATTGGTGCAAACCATTCTGCCTAAGGTGCTGGTGAAGGTGAAAATGAACGTGTTGATGATCAAGCTGTCAAAGTGGCTGACTTTGTTGACACACTCAGGCTCCAATAACAAAAAAGAACATCAAGTGGGCTTCTAAGTTTCACTCACAAAGCTGTAGCGCCCCGAAAATTGGGCACGGTATATCTATTTATGCTATAAAACCCACCTGATAGACAAACACATATATATAGCTAACTATTCCATACATCCATTTCTATTAAATCCCAAATGCCGAATACATGCTATTCACATCTCAATGCCCCAGTTCCAATCCCAAGCATACATTTTACAATAAGTAAGAAATGGAAGCCGAACAGATAATAAGTGTCCTACAGGCTTACAAATTTATCCAAGAACATTCTTGGTTACACAAAATGGAGTTTCAACTCAACGCAAATACAACCCTGGGCTTACATTCAACAAATAACAATAAAACAAAAAATAAAGCCTCAGCTCCGAGTCCTCCCAAGTCAATACCTTGGCGAAGGTATAGCACCTGTACCTGAAATGGTTGCCCTTATAGGGTGAGCCACAGCCCAGTAGAGATATACTACACAACATGTGAAGCATGACAACACTAAAGAGGAGTATGCTCATGCCATGCTCATGATAAAACAGTTTATCTCTTTTTTTATAAAGCATGCAATGCTGAGATACAACAACAGATATAAAACCATTTCTATTTTAAACCATATCTATTACATGAATACAGGCTCTGTGAATCTCTAGGTGAGTGTCTGCAAGTAGGCCCTAATGCACTACCATTGTCATTTTTACCAGTAAACTGGAAGGCTCGACACCTAATTGCACGGCCCCTACCCAGATTCACCAAGTATTCATCTTTTCGCAAATAGATACATTTCAAAAAATTTCTCAAAAACAGATACATTTCCAATGAAATGAATGTAATGCAATGTCCAATGCAACAAATGAGGAATGTGGTTCAATTTACCTAAGTCTCATGCATTTCTACAACAATTATGTCTATCCTCTACCGATAGCCCAAAATAGATATTTCTAAACAGATAATTAAACAATTAAATTTCAAAAAAAATTTCGATAAATACAATCTATTCCACATCTCATCAAATATGAACAACTACACTAGTTTTCATATCACAATCACATCCGGTAACCTTTCTAATCGTGTCGGTTTTATCCCAACAAATACATTAAGCAAAATAATACCGTTAATGTCCAAGAAAACATCATTTTCTTTCCAAACTCATTCTCCAAGCGTTATTCAACTATGACATCCTATTTTGATCAAAAGCCCCAAAAGTTAAACATAATTCCTTTATTTTCTTTAAAAATATTGTTTTGGTCGTAAACCGGTAAAAATTTCAAAACCAATCGAGTCGAAGTCCGTTTTTGTTCAAATTTAAAACATAGCTCTTTCATAACCTTACAAACATATTCCAAGTTTACGCTTTCGCAATTTGGGTATCAACTTTTTATTTTTCTCAAAATTTCTCTTTTAAGCAAATAAATCACAAATTTTTCAAAAATTCTACTCCCTTCGTCCCAAAATATTAGTCCTTTATTCTATTTTTCATTGTCCTAAAATATTAGTCCCTCTTTATAAATCAAGTACAAAAATAATATAAATTTTCAATTTTGCCCTTCTTTTAAATTAATAAACAATTTAAAAAGTACAATTATGATATTGATATTCCCAAAAAATGTACTATCTAAAGGGTAATTTTGGAAAATCAACTTTTTTCAAATGCAATAAGTGTACTACCAAAAAAAGTTAGATTCCCCAAAAGGGACCAATATTTTGGGACGGAGGGAGTAATTAAATTATATACAACTCTAAACACTATATAATCAAGTAAAAGTGCATAAAGAAGTATAGGAAAAATTTCTACCTCAAGCCAATAAGCTTTCAAATTTTTTGGCAACAGAAATTAAATCTGCTTGGAGCTAGACGACGCCTTTTCCGCCCTCTACGTTTTTATCCAAAGCACTAGGGGTCAAAAATGACTTATACTAGATCAAACACATGAAAAATCAACATTGGAACCCTTTTTTCTCTCTTTCTCTTCAGAGCAATAACCTAAAGTTGAACAAAACATCCTATTTGGTCACTGTTATATATATATATATATATATTATAAACAAATATCTAACCAAATATCTAACAATAAATATCTAACTATATATACACACACCTATATATATATATATCAATCAAAAATACACTTCAACATCTTTAATGACAAAAGTAAATATAATATTTTCTCACCACAAAATATATTTCGTTTAATGGTACACACCGTAAATATTCACAACTCTTTTATGGTAGTCAAATTATAATAATAAAACCACAACACTGTTACATGATTACTAACGGGTCACAATTCAATCAATTGGGTCCAAAATGAATGGAGTTTAATAATTTAAAATAAATCCCCAACTGATTTATCTCAAATCATGGTCCGAACACCCAAAACTCAATTTTAAATTCTGCTATAAATTAAACTGAACACCAATCAGTCCGTGAATTTTCATAAAATAAATACTCATCATTAAATTCCTAAATTTTTATCCAACGTGCTAGACTCATATGGGAACAACATATAAAAATTTCACAATTTTCTGAGATCGAAAACTATTTTTAAAAATACAAAACCGAACTATTTTCGCACAGAATTTATACGGCAATCAAATTCGAAAATTTGCTCAATTAAATTATACATTGGCTATTTAAAAAAAAAAATGGGTCATTACAACCTACCCTCCTTAAAGAAATTCCGTCCTTGAAATTAAACTCAAGTAATTTAATACATTCTACAGTCACCCACAAACTCACTCAAGTACTTACTAATGCATCAACAAAATTTCTTTGACTATTACATGAGCCTCAACAAGTCACACCGGTAACAAACCAAATCATGACATTTGCACAACAATTGATTATAAAACCCTTACTAGTATAAACCATTAAGTGATTCTTCTATCCACATCGATAACCCACAGCAACAAAATAGGATCTAATCCCTTAAGTATAACAAAATTTTGGCAAAACGATTCCCCAGAATACCAAGACACCATACCTTATTGGTGATAATCCCAAGGCTAAAATAACCATCACTATTCCAAGACCTTAACAAAACGAAATAATAACTCTTCAAAAGCACTAACCACCAACTCTTATGAAACATAATGCAATCATGCCAAACACACTACTCGAAAATCTTCAGCCACAACTTTAATTGCCCAACCAAGCAATTTCTATATTATTTTTACCTATCCACTCTATTTCTTTCACTCGACGAACCGACTAACAATTTATGTAAACTTGTTTACATCCACCTACACAATTTCACTCCAACATAAAATTTACCCAAACGCTCACACAATGCATTTCGAGTCCACATAGAATTCATCAAAACTAGATACACATTCTAACAATACTAAGGTATTTCCACTATGATTCTCATTCTTTAAAACCCAAACCATGACACTAACTCCAAAGTTACAGCACGATTCTACATCACACTAATATTACGATAACCCACGAGATCAAACCCAAATTGAACAACTTTTACAATACCAACTCACTTATTGACAAGTATTATTACCGCTATTGAGGCCAATTAACGGAATATTCTATGTCTCACCCTAGAAGTATCTCTAACCAATCACAATGAGACACCCGTAAAAATTGACACTGAAACGACTCTAAAATTCCCGAATCGTTAATAAATTGATTAACCTCAAATTACAATAAAATCTCTCCAAAGGAAATTCAATGTACATCCCTTGCCAAAAGAAATAATTCTACACTTCTGATTCAGAATTCTAATTAAAATAATCTTTTCAGTACTTCAATCCAATCACTACGAAATCTGCTCCACACCTGAAAAATAAACAATTTAACTCGAGAAGTAATCCACCACAGCTTACTAAGATACAAAGAAAATAAAATTGAATCCTCATAACTGCTCATGTCACAAATAACAACACCAACTACCAATATTAAACCCACCACGAAAAGCCTACACAACTCAAGACAAAAGGTTACACCAACAAATACTAGTTTTAGTTACTTTGAAATCTTCTATGAAGTTTCTAGCCAACTCACTTCCACCCAAATTCTAAAAGATACTACCACAAGTTATAAAGCCACTCATTCACTCTAAGAAATTTTCTATGTTAACAATTGTCATCCCATAACAATTTCCAAGACTAACAA